CCGCTCTCAATAGTATACCCATTGGCCCCTAATTCCCTCCTTTACTCACCTACATTGCCCCAGTTTTCAGTCCAGAAGCCCTTCTTTCTTTAAAAATGGCATTTCAGTGCAATCACCAACACTCCTTCTTGTAGAATAATGGGATAGGAGACTTCCGGATTCGAATCCTCTTTCCTTCATTTTCTTCGTCTGTTTTACACACCAAAGTGAACAGTTGTCGAAAATCAATACCTTGAGTTTCTGCAAATCCTTTCAGTAGAATTCAGCAACATACACTGAAATGTCTACTCTGTAGCAGGCTATTCTAGCTAGGCTTTGGGAACCCTCAAATAAGTAACGGACTCCCTGTCCTCAAGGAGCTGGTCATCTTGTGGGAAAGACAGCACACACAATGATTTGTAATCCAGAGGGATCAATGTTGTAATGGAAGTGCAAACAAAGGCCAGTGGGAGCAACTGATTCTGCTAGGGCCAGGGGAAGGTGGGGATTAGGGAAGAGGCATTTGGACGTGCTCTGAAGGATAAAGGATAAGTAGAATGTCTATAGAGCAGGAAGGGGAGAAGCCCATTCCAGAGAGAGAATGGAGCATGCATTTGGAGGAGGCACATAGTCTGTGACAGAATCTTCCTATGTGGGTGTGAGAAGAGGAGTGTGCAAGTGGTGAGACTTGAAAGGTGGACTGTGGTTAGATGGTAAAGGAGGCCTTTTATCTGTTCATTGATGCAGTGCTTATCCAGTAGAATGTTCTGTGATGTTGGAGGGAATTATCTATTTGCACTGTTCATCAATACGTGTGGCTCTTGCGTATTTGGAATGTGGCTAGGATAACGGAGGAACTGAATTCTTAATGACATTTAGTTTTTTTTATCAACTTTCTTGAGATATAATTAACATGTCAAAAGATTCACCCTTTTAAAGTGTACATAAAATGCCTTTTTAGTAAGTTACAGAGTTGTGTGACCATTACCACTATCTAATTTTAGGACATTTTCAATCATTCCATAAAGAAGCCTCATAGCCATTAGCAGTCTCTCCCCTTTTCACACCCTCCTCCCCCAGCCCCTGACAACCACTAATCTACTTCTCTCTCTATGGATTTGCCTATTCTGGACAGTCCATATAAACGCAATCATGCACTTATGTGGTCCTTTGTGACTGGCTTTCACTTAGCATAATGTTTTTAAGATTCATCAATGTTGACAGATCAATTTATCATCACATATATCAGTATATTATTCTTTCTTGTGGACGATTAATATTCAGTTGTATGAATGTACAATATTTTATTTATCCATTCCTAAATTGATGGTCATTTAGGCTGTTTTCACTTCTGGGTTATGAATAATGCTTCTGTGAACATGCGTGTACAAGTTTTTGTGTAGACATATGTTTTCATTTCTCCTGGGTATGTACCTAACAGTGGAATTGCTGGGTCATATGGTAACTCTATATGTAATCTTTTGAGAAATTGCCAAACTGTTTTTCAAAGTGGTATGATGTTTATTATAATTAATTTAAATGAAATAGCTACATGTGGCTACTGACTACATATTAGACGATGCAAATCTAACAGCTTTCCAATGGGGGCATGGGGTATAGTCTAATACAGTGGTGAGGTCATGAGCTCTGGGGACAGCCCACCTGAGTTCCAAACCTGACTGTTCTACTTAACTATCCTTGAGCAAATTACCTAACCTCTTTGTGCCTTAGTGTCCCCATCTATAAAACGGGAGTAAAACCTAATGGGTTTGTCCTGAGGTGAAAAGACAATATATGGAAGGCTCTTGGAATATATTTAATAATAATTACTACTACTGTTAATATTGGTGGTCCTCAGAGTACATTGTGGTTGGTACGTAATTATCAACTCCCAAACTAAGTTTGGAAACAGATTTGAAAGTGACTTCCTTGATTCTATTCCATCACTGAGTTAAGTTTGTCCCTGTTATCTTTTAGCTATGTAGGTCACTTTTCATGGTGAGTCTATGTGTTCAGAGCAGTGATTCTCAGTTGGAGACAGTTTTGCTGCTTCCAGAGGACATTAGTCAGTGTCTGGAAACATTTTTGGTTTGTTACAGTTTGGGAGTGCTACTGGCATCTAGTGAGTGAAGGCCAGTGATGCTGCGAAACATCCTGCAATGCTCAGGATGGTCCTTCTCAACAAAGGATTGTCTTTGTTGTGAGTAGTGCCAAGGTTGAGAACCTCTGGTTTCTTACCAGGTCCTACTTAATTATCACAGGGTTTGAGGTCAGCTTTCCTATGAAGAGAGAGCATAGCATTATGAAGTGTATGAAATCCTCTGACAAAACAATTTAGGTGGGATAATCTAAAGCTTTAAATCCTGAATCTTGATTACTCTCAGATTTGTTGACATATGTTACCAGTCAGCCCTACTTTGTCAGCCAACACCAAACATTTTGAAAAAAAGCGTATTTTTTTAGTCTGTGGTTTAGTAAGCAGGTGAGCCCTCCCTTAGTCACCCAGTCTTGAACTTTCTTTTCCCTTGCTTTGGGCTGCCTTTGTGATTTTATTTGAAGAACATGTTTGTTTTCGCCCCAGTGAAGCTGATGGCCAGTTACTTTCTTTTCTCAGTGTCCTCCATGGCCCTCGTCGGAACTGAGTCATGTTCTTAGAACTTTTTCCTCTCCCCCTTCCAAGTCTTGGCTCTACTCTTATGCTCAGCCTCACGGACGTTTGCTTGTTCTCATACACGCTCAGCCTGAGGAAACTATTAGGTGTTTTCAGGGTCACCAGGAGGGAAGCTGACTCCTGCATGTCAGGAAGGCTGTGTCTAGAGGAGAGCCTTCTCCTTCAAGCCTCAGGATACAGCTCATTGTGGATGTTGGGCACTAGCCAGCAACTCTTATGAATACTGTGGCTACTTTACATGGCTTTGGGTACAAAATTCCAACTGCCTTTGGAATTCCTGGCCATCCATATGCCCTAGAGGGCCTCTTTCCTGTCATAAATTGTTAGGAATAACGCTTGAGGGACCATCAGGACCCAGGTGGGTTTATTTCTTACCCTACAATCCCAGTTGTGGGCACTGCCAGGACCACCGTTCCAACTATAAGTTCAGAGACAGTCAGAGCAGCCACTGAGTGACAGGGAGCAGTGACAGTGGGTTCTGTTGACCTGTCTACTCAGTGGCATACAACTGGCAGGCTGATGTCTGGCTGTGGGCACCTCCCTTTTGGACCATCCTTTGTATTTCCACTAGGTGGAGCAAAGTCTGGCCAAAAAACTGCTTGCAATGTGGAAACCACAAAGAAATACAAATAAATAGAGAACATTGCAATCTGGGAAATAAGGAGAGGGGAAACATATCTCATCCTATTGAATTCTACGGCTTGTTGATACAATTCTGGGCTTTCCCAGTGTGGGAATTAAAGTAGGTCATTCTCCCAGACTTGTAGATGGCCAGTCCTGCATGGGATGCTCTTACTCACTCAACTACATTCCCATGGCCTTGATTTATTTACTTTTGGTTTTCTTCTTTCCATACTTTCTTCTGTGGGAAAGCAGATGAGCTGTGTATATATCTTCTGTTCCTAGTGCCATCATCTCCCTCAGAGGGCCACAGCTAAGTTTTGATTCATGATCTTAGGTGTTTTAAAGAATTTAATTTAAACTTGTTTTGGAAGAGGTAAAAGTGAGCGGAAGACGATGCAAGAATATTTGTGGCTGGGAAGGGTGGGACCTAGAGTCAAGTTATAAAAACATGTCTGTTTTTATTTTTAAGTATCAAGCAAGACAGATCTATGTCATAACACTGTTTCATCAAACATTCTTGCAGATCAGAGGCATCTGTTCATGGCAAAAGTATTCATGTTTTTCATAATTCTACATGCCTTTTTTGCTCACCCTTTCCTAAATTATGTTCCTCACCTAAACTTGGCAGTTTCACTCCATTTGTATTAAAAATGAACCTAACATAGAAACAACAACAAAAAACTCCACAGCTTCATTTATTGCTCGGCCATCGTGGCTCAGTAGTTGAGCATCGACCTAAGAACCAAGAAGTCACGGTTTGATTCCCAGTTAGGGCACATGCCAGGTTGTGGGCTCCATCCCCAGTGTGGGGCATGCAGGAGGCAGCTGATTAATGATTCTCTGTCATCATTGATGTTTCTTTCTCTCCTCCCTTCCTCTCTGAAATCAATAAAAATATATTAAAAAAATAAAACAAAAAAAAAAATAGAACTCCATAGCTTCATTTATTGGTCAGAAATCAGTATTTTCCCTTTAGTGGCTTCTTTGGGTGAGAAAGTTAATATTTGGCTTTTTACACTGGGATGTTGGAGCATTATAGCTCCTTAGTACTAGAATAGTGTGAGAGTTGAATAGTATGAGAAGTTCATCATCCTGTGTATTTTTTTCTTATTTCTTTAAATATATATATGTATATCTATTCAATTTCCTGACAGGGAATTGAACCATGTCCTCCCGGTTCATAGGTCGATGCTCAACCACTGAGCCACACCAGCCAGGCTCACATCAGTTTTTAACTACACAAAAATAACACATGTCCATAACAATGTTAAATTATGTAGAAATACAACAATGCTTAGAGTAAAAGGTGAAAGTCTGTGGTTTGGTGTGTATTTTTGGTGGTTTTTGTGCTTATGCTGCCAATTTATAGATATACAGGGTGGACACAGGTAGGTTTACAGTTGTGAGTACACGAAACACAGTTTATTTTGTATTATTACTTATTATTATTGTATTATTTGTATTATAACTGTAAACCTACTTTTGACCCAACCCTTTAGTAATAAATTCACATATGTGTGTGTGTGTGTGTGTGTGTGTGTGTATCTCCTATAAATAAATGTAAAGTTGGTGGTATGTGTAGGGTTCTTTATTGTCTTTCATTTTTTAAAACAAAAATGGGGTAATTTATAACATGCACTTTTTAAAACCTAAATATATTACATTATACCTTTGATTTTTTTTTCTTTTTTAAACATTTTAAAAATTACATCCAATATTTTTTTGGTGTTTTTATTTTTTAATCCTCACCTGAAGGTATTTTTTCCATTGATTTTTTTTTAGAAAGAGAGTGGAGGGGAGGAGGAGAGAGAGACGGAGAGAGGGAGAGAGAGAGAGATGAAGAGAAGAGAGGAGAGAAGAGAAGAGAAGAGGAGAGAAGAGAAGAGAAGAGAAGAGAAGAGAAGAGAAGATAGAAAAGAAGAGAAGAGAAACATCTATGTGAGAGAGACACATTGATTGGGATCAAGCCTGGGGAATCGAACCCAGGACCCTTCGGCCCGCTGAACCAAACCGGCCAGCGCACCTCTGATGTTTTTTAAATGCTTGTATGTTATTGCATTAGACCTTTATTTATTTAATCACTCCTTTATAGATAAACATGCGGTGTCCAAGTTTTTTCTAGGTAAACATTGTTGTACTTAATTTCTTTCTGTAATTGTGCTGGATTCCTAGAAGTGGCATTGGGGATTGTGAAGTTATAGGATATGAAATTTGGGTTCAGTCGTGCCAAATTGCTCTCCACAGTGGTTCTATCAGTTTACATTCCCATTACTAGGGTATGCAAGGGCTCATTTCCCCAAAGTGTGAGCAACATTTCTTGATCTATGTCCTGTGCTTATTCTTGAAGAGGTTCCTTC